TTTGAGAAACTGTCATACTAAGCAATATGATATTACAGATATTTCTTGATTTTTCCAATTTTATTTTTTAGAAGATGATCTTCCCATACTCTGGAAGATAAAGATATTTATTATAGGTCTCTGCCATCTCAATTTCCTCATTCTACTGTCTTCCACGTTTATTTACATTCCAAGTTTTGGTTAAATTACTATCCTGYGTCTACATTTCTATGACTCTACAGGCGTTGTTATTAAATTTCCTTTCCTGTAGAGTGTTTTGTTTTTCCTAGAGTTGATTTTGTTTATTTTTTGATGCCCTTACATTTTCAAAATGCATGTATCATTTATTTGTAGCCAGATTTACTTATTTAAAAGTGTGATCAAGCATATCAGGTAGCCAATTAGTCACACATTTTCCCTGGAGACATCCTCTGCCCACTTGTACCATCTTCTCTGCTTTCTTTGTTGACCTACTACAGAGCTATTCTCATGGAACTTACTTTCCTCATCCTGCTTATTTTCATCATTTCTTTCCTGTGCTGGGTTTCCTATTTCCTGGATCCTATGTCTGAGCTTTCCTCCAGTCTGCTGACTATTGGCTGCTTATTTATCTTTAAGGGTCGAAGTTTTGTGCTTACAAGGAGGTTGCCAGTGAGAAGGTTGCTCTCCTGTTATGTCCCTAGGACAAGAGAATCTGAGGGCCTTGAAGAGAAGTAAAATTCAGAAGAAAACACATATGAACCACCACCACCACCCTTCTCCCCGCAAATCTAGAACAAGGACAGTGGTGGCACAGACAGGAAGAGTCAGCTGGTCCTTCTAGAAKACGGTGATAGAGATAATGAGGAGGGTAGCGGTAATAGCAGTTAACATTTAGTCAGAGACTACTAGGTACAGGTACAGTCAACGCCCTATTTAAGACCAACATTTTCCTTTGGTTTTGAAATAATGGCCTTTCCTGAAATAACAGAATTTGATTGTGTTGGGAAGGGTGAGTCATAGATCAATAGGGTTAGAAGAATTGGCACAGGTTGACGAGTGGCATTTTGAACGTTTTTGTTTCTCCTTCAGTCACCATTCATCTTTTAAACTAAGACAAACTGTTAAAAATAATGCCCTTGTGAGGACGATCTGTATGATACATCATTTTTGGAAAATAAATGGGTACATAATGCATATTGTTTGCACAAAATCCATATTTGCAAACATTTTTCTACAAGGGGATGTACAAGCATGTAKAAGCTAGAAGCGAGCTTTTTAATAAGTTTTCTAACCTTCTAATGAGTACGAACTTTAAACCATGTGTATGTATATTGCTTCTATAATTAAAAACTGATTTAAAATAAAGTAAAAATCTAACCATGTCAAAAATGTAATCCTACCTTGGTGTGGTGACACATCTCTATRATCCCAGGGATTCAAGAGACTAAAGCAGAAGGATCACAAGTTCAAAGCCAGCCTGGGCAATTTAGTGAGGCCCTAAGCAACTTAATGAGACCCTGTCTCAAAATTAAAAAAAGGGCTGGGGAATGTAGCTCAGTGGAAGTGCCCCAGTGTTGAATCCCCAGTAACCTCCCCCCACCTCTGCCAAAGTACATGTACCTAAATAAATATAAATATTAAAGGAATGATTATAATGGGAAACACTCCATCAACATAAATCTTCTTAGAGTCTTTTTTCAGGACTAAGTCTCAAGTCGTGGGTGCGGAGGTAAGCTTTTACAGAATGTCACCCAACTGGGAGGAGAGTGAGAGAGGAAGCAATGAGGAAATATTATAAGAACAGATTTGGGGAGCATTTTGGAGTGTTCACCTGCCTGTGGGCTCTCTGCCCTCCACTCACTTCCAAACTGTAGATGGCGCTGTCCCCAGGCCAGCGCTAGTTGGGTCCTGTTTTGCTCATGGGTTTTGCTTCTCTCCTRCAGCAGATCAGAGCCAAAGGCTAGTGATTTCCAGTTTAGTGTTGGGACTGTAAACAGGGTCTGGGATTGAAGACAAGAAACAGACAGAAATAAATCAATCTGACAGCAAAACTGGTTGGTCAAGACCAAGAAGTCAGGAGTGATTAAAATTGAGATCTCAAGTACATCTGTACTAGCAGAAATGCAAGGGTCAAAATGTTTTCCATAATAATAGGAGCTGGCATTTATGGAGCCAGGTATCATTCTGGGTTTCGTATGTGTTCATACACCTCACCCTGCCACCAACTCTAGGTTGACATTATTCTGATTCCTACATTATAGTTGCAAAAACTGAGGCTTAGATTAAGGTAGTGATTTACCTAAATCTGGTAGGTGTTGGTGATAGAATTTAAATCCTTGTAGTCTGGCTTTAGAGGAAGGAACTGTGCTAAGGATAGGGATGACACACTCATTACATGAACTACTTCCTTACCTTTAATAAACGCATAATTGCAAATGAAGGTTAAAAGGCTAAATAGAAGAAAAACGCTTGTAGCTAAATGCTTGACCTATGCTGCAGGGTTAAGGTAAGACGTTCCTGATGGAAGGAAACTTAACAGAGACCCAGATTTGACTTTATTTAGATAAAAGGCTAGAGAGAGGAAGTCAGGGAAGCAAGAGAATTCTAGATAGCAGAGTTAACATGTGCAAAGTTCCTGTGGCAGAAGAGAGAATATTGAATTTGAGGAAAGCCAACATAGCAAGCTGGGCTGCAGGACRGCATAAGCCAATGACAGAACCACTTGGAGGTCCATGGAGGTTGATCAGAGCTTGTTATTTGCCATTGCATCCAGGATTTAGGGCAGAGTAATGCTCTGACAGGAAGGACCTGGGCTTCAAACAGGGGATTTGATGTGATCGTGTGTATCTCTATCTAGCACTATGTTTGCCCATGCACTGGTACATGTTCATTTTGTTCTTCCTCTTCCAGATCCTTATTCTTCACTTCTGCTATATCTCTGACTCTTTGGCACAGCCAGAAGTGAAAAACAATGCCCAGGTTGCACAGAGAACTGGGATGCGGCACCCCCCCCCGTTCATCTGCACTTTTCGTGACTGTTTTTTAATATTTTTTAATTGATGCGTTATAGCTATACACAATGGTGGGATTTGTTATTACATAGTCATACATTCACACAGTATAACAATATAATTTGGCCAATATCATTCCTTTGTATTTCCCCTTACCCTCCCTTCTCCCTCTGCATGGCCCCTCTCTGCTGATCTCCCCACTGCAGTCTTCATAAAGAGGCCTCTCTCCCTGCTCCCTCCGCCCTGGACTAGAGTGACTCACCATAATGGAGAGGCAGACAGCTGAAGTGCATTTGGCCAAAGCCAGTAGCACATTGTGTTGCAGGGCTTGTCGGCTTTCCCTACCCTGGCCTCTCAAAAGCAATTCAAATAAGAGACGAACCAGGTGCCAGGCCCATTGATCTGGGTCTGTTAGAATTGAGGTGGATGTCAGCTGTGTCCCCATTTGGCACTACCCCTCTACACTCTGCCAGAAAGGCCTTGGAGAATGCCTATTGCATGGGTGATGGAGAGCTGGCTGTCTGGCTTGCTCTCACTTTGTTTATCTGGGTCTCTGCACAGTGGCAAAGCCTCCGCCCACCACGAAATGACCAAGCTCAGTGTGTCCAACTTTGGGATTTTTCAGTTCTATGAGTATGAGATTATTTGTTTAATAATCAGAGGGCAATTGGTTATTCAAGAATGTCCTGTAAGCATTACAGGGATTTGTCCTTGACCCTCAGAAAGAAAGGCAACAGACACTCAGAATGATAAAAATCCAATTTAGGAACTATAGCAAAAAGGAGAAGGTTTTTAGTAGTGGTTTTGAACAGTGYTTCCAAAACTTCCTCTAAACTGGACTGACTTTGCAGAGCTGGACCTATATTGAATCTTAAACACTGAAAAGTATTCAACAATACTGAGTAATCCTCTCACATGGTCCAGCCCTGCTGCAGATCCTTGGATCCCAGAAGAGGAGAATACCATTATTATTCTGGAGCAGCTCACAATGGAATGGGGACATTGACTATCAATTACTTGGGGTGGGGGGTGCCTCCAAAGAACCTAATGGAGGTTTGCACAAGGCATGATGGGAACAGAGTAAAACCCAGCTATGTTTGTCTGGGGAGGTCAGATAAAGCCTCAGGAGGCCTTGCTAAAGTTCCCACTTGGAAGATAATTTGTTTTCAAAGCTTTATGGTTTAAGATCCCCTTTCTGTGCTTCTATAGCTTTCATCCTACTRTAGTCCCCTCTACCCTGATTGGGCTCCTGGCTTAGTAGTGATAGTTAACATTTGTATTCTTACCAAGAGCTAGTCACTGCCCAGAGTGAGCCCATCTCACAGAATCTTAGAACAAGCTCACAAAGCAAACATTATTCATATTCCTACCCTACAAATAAGATATCTGAGACATGGAGGGGTTAGTGGATTGACCAAAGTCCCACAGAGACAGAGCCAGGGTGGTCAAGCGCGTAGTCTGGTGGTAGAGACAAATCAGGGGTCAGCAAACTGTGGCCCACAGGTGAATCTAGTCTTGTTTTTGCAAATAAAGTTTTATTGGAATGTAGCTTTGTTCACTATGKTCTCTGGCTGCTCTCATGCAAAGGCAGAGTTACGTAGTGTGACAGTGACCATATGGCCCACAAAGCCATTTACTTATCTGACCCTCTTCAGAAGAAGTTTGCCAACCCCTGCTCCCAGTCACCACACGAAACAACTTCCTTTCTGATTAAATCAGAGGCKCCCTGAGGGCATGGTTTGCCTCCTTCATCTCTGTCATCCAGCCTCTAACCTGGAAAGTTCCATTATTGGTGGTTACACTTCAATAGACCTTAAAATGCTTATTCAATTTAATGAGTTTAATCTGTGTTTGAACAGTCCCAAAACTCCTTCTGAAAATGTAAAAATCATGTTTGCTGCAACCTTCATTAGTCCAAGCAAACCCAAGAGGTCAAGACTGATGGTTTTAACAGTGTAACAGGGACAAACTCTAAATTAAAGTGCATACTACATCTGCTTTTCTTTTTTCCTGAATCTCTGCAATAAGCTGCCTGGTGGAGGAGGGGACCCAATATATCTTTCAGCACCTTGGAAACTGGAAAGTACCCAGAAGCAGAACCTCAAGGAGACAAGAATAAACAGGAAAAGCTGACACTGAGTCCCCAGAGTCCTGAGCAGCCCTGAAAGGAAAAGCAAAGGGTAAGAGATGAAGCAGTTGTCCTTCTTCAGTAGTAGGGAGGAGGTGAGGGCTTTCAGACTAGAAAGAAGCTACCCATTTCATGGTGGTCCCTAGAATGAGGTTAAATCACAACTGCACCCCCSACCACCACGTACACATACACTCTGGTTTTCCCCATGGAGCATGCCCCACTTGGGATCACAAGGGCTGCYTTGATGTGGGAGGAAAAACACGCACTGGAATAGGAGAGCTGGATCAGACCTGGCCCAGAGCCTGACACAGCACAGTAGTGGCTGAGTTCCCCAAGGACTGTGTGTTGACCATCATAAGTGGTCTCAAGTATTAGCACCAGCTGCAGGACTAATCTCCRCTCTGGCTGCACTAGCTCCAGTGCCTTGTGCAAGTAGTTTGTAAATTAGATTAAAAATTCTTTGAAGGCAGGGACTGCATCTTCTCCATCTTTATATTTCTAGAACCTRGGAAACAATAGATGCTCAATATTGAATTAATGAATCCCTCTAAACCTTGGGCATTCCTGTGACTATTAACTGAGAAAGTAAATGTCAGGCCCAAGCATTTAGTAAGTAGGACTGCAGATAACAGAGAATAAGGTTGAAGTAAAGCCAGCATTGCTGTGCCTCAGTTTCCTTGACAATAAAATGGAATCACAAGTGCCTGATAGAAATTAAGGATAGAATGAATACAAAAGCATTTTTTTTCCTCTCACAGGAGCTTCTACCTATCTCCATGACAGCACTTGTTATATGCATCACAATTAGCTGTTTCCAATTGCTCTACCTCCCAGCACAGGAGCTGGAAAATAGCAAATGCTCAACAAATGTGTGCTAAGTTAACAGCCAATGTGATGCATAACAGCATAATCAAGGAAAATGACAAATCAGCTTTTCATTTTGAATGTGGTAAACATTCTATAATGTTATAAAGAATCTTTAAGCAAAAAGCAAGTGGTWTTCAAATTGTGTATTTTATGCCAGTACATACATTTATTAACATTCCCCTGCCTTTGCCAATTTCTGGGGGGTTTCCCCATCAACAGAGTCAGCATTTCAGATCAGTGTGCTTTCCAGATTTTGGTTCACATCTTTTCTGAAGTGGAAAATAATTTTTGTTTTTTGTCCAGGATTCTTACATCTTCGATGTCAGTGGAATCATTTCATCTATGCCACTAACTTTGCCAAACTTGCTTGATTTTATAAATTACACCGGGGTGCTGATTTTCCTAGTCTTCAATAAAGGTGTTTCCCTCATGGAAGTCTACAAAGCACCTGAAAGCAGGCAAGATATTTCCACGCACCCACTTTCTCTGACTTCCAATTTGGTTTCATGTCCTGTGTCATACTTTTAGCTGAACGAGTATTATGAGCATACATCTTAAAAAAATCTATGGAACTTAAGATGCATCTGATTGAATTATTACATTTGTAAATTTGGCTGAGCGGGTGGCTCTGTGAGAGTGCTTGTTTAGCATGCACGAGGTCCTGGGCTCTGTGAGAGTGTTTGTTTAGCATGCACGAGGTCCTGGGCTCCATCCCTAGCACTGTTAAAAAAAAAAAAGTAAATTTTGCTAAAAACTAAATGATTAAGAGATTCTCAGCTATGGCATAATGTGGATATTGTGAGGAATAAGATTCATGCAGTCTAGTAAAAAATGACAAACATGCACAGGCATTGATCAGCAGAGCCAGGGAGCACCAAAGCTATGCTTCTTTCCTCATTGTTGGTAGACATGGCAATCAATCACACCCGACTAAAGTTCTTAATCTTTGTTCTTTCCTCATGTGACATGAAACCAATAATTCCTATGCAGCAATGTGCAAGTCCTGGTACTGTCTCTGCAGCTCCATCTTTCTCAGCCACCCCTGAAAGTAATTCCCAATGTAAAGGAGTTACAAGAGCCATTCAATTAGGAGAACCTGGAGGCTACTTTGTTTTTAAGTCAGTCATTGGTCAAATTAGCATATAGTAGCAATAACCATTTTGCACTTGGTTGCCACAAAATAATGTTATAACTCTGTAAGAATCCTCAAGAAAAGTGTATCATAGATAGGCACTATTGTGGACTGAATATTTGTGTCCCCCAGAATTCATGTTGGAATCCTAACCCCCAGAGTATTGGTAATTAGGAGGTGGGGCCTTTTGGGAGATGATTGGGCTAYGAGCAAGCGTGGAAAGGTCCTGCATGGGATTAAAAGAGGCCCCAGAGAGCCCTTCTTCCTCTTCCACCAAGTGACAGCACAGCAAGAAGGTACACCTACGAGCCACACCAAGAGCTCGCACCAGACATAGAGTCTACTGGAACCTTGTCCTTGAACTTTCCAGTCTCCAGAACTGTGAGTAATGCATTTCTTTTGTTTATAAACTACCAGTTTACAGTATTTCGTTACAGCTGCCAGACTCAGACAGGCACGTGGGGTGCTTAGACTGTGGGCAGTCTATTTTACCTGGTGGGTGACTATTCATTTCTCCTAGTAAACATGACAGTTTTCTCACAGAATGTAGTTTAAATGAATGGTTTTAAAGAATCCATTTGCCTTGCATTCTGTTTTGCAATCCAACTCCCCAGTTGATTTTAGTTAGCACACTTTTAGTCGGGTTCTTGAGACCTTCAAAACAAATAAAATGGAGCCTCATATTTAACTTTGTGTATAACGTGACTTTGCAGGAAATAAAACATACTTCTAAAATCCAGCTCTTACTTTGTAATAGATCAGCCCAAAGTTTAGTAGATTCCAACAACAAATGTCATTATTTCTCAAATATTTAGTGTGGATTGAGTGGTACTTCTGGGCTGGCTTAATGGGAGTTGTTGGCCTAAGCTAACTGCACTCGGGTGTTTTGGGATCTTGACTGGTAAAAGATTTCTTGGGCAGCTGGGACCTATCAAGGATAAACAAATCTAGACATTAAAAGCAACGAAAACAAAGSCAGGCATGGTGGCACCTGCCTGTAATCTCAGCTACTCAGGAGACTGAGGCAGGAGGAGCACATGWTTGAGGCCAGCCTGGGCAATTTAGTGAGACCCTCTTTCAAAATACAAAATAAAAAGGGCTGGAAGGGTGGGGATGTAGCTTTGTGGTAGAATGCCTCTGGATTCAATGCCCCCTATTGGGTGGGGGAGGGGGGCAGAATWTAAAAACAGAGATTATTCTATAAAAACAGCAGCCAGAAAGAGCTGAGCTCTATCCCAATTTGCAAAGCATAGACTGGGTCATTTAAAGGGAGAATGATAGCTYTTCAGACACCCAGAGTCAGAGAAGTGAAGAATTACAAAAAGCCTGTGAGAATGCTGGCCAATGTCCATGCGATTAGGCCAGGGGTGTCYGCTAACTGGCCTTATCAGGTTTAGGCACCCATCTCCCCCAGAGACTGGGTGGCAAGATCCTGTCCTCCCTAAAGGTCACCTTTCAAAGGAATGGCCTTCAGATTCTGCAAAAAGACACTCTTGGCTGCAGGAGACACATATACATCTCATAAAGACACAGGAAGGATTTATGATTGCAAGCAGTTTTTGTTTTGCTTTGACTAAATGCTTAAAGAAAGGTTAGGGCTCTGTATGCAGGCATTATCTGGAATGCACTGTAAATTCTTTGGGCAGCCTTTAGTTTGTCCAGACAAAGTCGGTCGGACAAACAAAGTTGTTAGAAACCATGCTAGAGTTTGGTCAGATGTCTCCAAGCTCTGGTGATTTTGCAGTTCTCAGACATCTGCACATGGAAGCTCATCTTCCAACAGGCTCATCACAAGTGACAGAGAAGGCAAGCCCCATATGTTGAAGTCTCTACTTGCTTCATGTGTAATAACATCTCAGTTGCCAAAGAAAGTCAGATGGTTAAGCCCAGATTCCAGGGAAGGAGAAACAYACTCATCCACAGGATGAGCAGAGCATCAAGTTCTATTGCTGCAGGCTGTGCACAGTAGGAGGAATCGTTGCAGCCAGCTTTGCAAACAATTACCAAAAAGGTGTGGTATATCATCAATCAGAATTTTCTCCCACAATCCTATTCCCCAAGCAAGAAAAAAAAAAAGTAAATTTTAATCACATGGCTATCTCAGCTTAAAGTAGTATATTTGATCATTTAAATAGTCCACTTAGATAGAGGGAGTCTCTCTGAAATAAAATTGGCTTTAGTCCTAATTGGCTAAGATGGTGTCTGGGGGTAGGAATATGGTAGAGCAGAGTCTGGCCCAGTTTCTGTGTATGGTTGGTCCATTTGTGTCTTGAACTGGCCATGTTGTATTTGGAGTAGCGTTCGTTCTAGACCGTGCCCTGTGTGCCACGTCATGATCCAACTGTAGCTGTATCAAATGAAGGGACATCTTTTTCCAACTGATCATCCCAGATGGGTACTGTTATAGTTCAGATATGAGGTATCCCCCTAAAGCTCACATATGAGACAATGCAAGAACATTCAGAAGTGAATGATTGGGTTTGGGTAGTCTTAACCTAATCAGTGCATTAATCCACTGATATATGGATTAACTGGGTGGTAACTGTAGATGGGTAGTGAGTGGCTGGAGGAGGCAGGTCACTGGGGGCATGCCTTTGGGGTTTATATTTTGTCTCCAGTGAGCAGGGCTCTGCTTCCTGTTGCCATGTCTTGAGCTGCTTTTCTCTCCCCTGATGTTCTGCTACACTTTGGGTCCAGAGCTATGGAGTTGGCCCTCAATGGACTGAGACCCATGAAACTGGGTCAAAATAAATGTTTCCTCCTCTAATTGTTCTTGTCAGGTCTTTSGGTCACAGCAACAAAAATGCTGACTAAAACAGGTACCCTTTTGCCTTATTCTAATGTACATAAAGACACTTTATATCTCTGGGCACAATGTTCCCCACTTTCTCTAGTGCCCTGCAGGGTGTTCCTTAGTGATCTACTTACTTCCTGCCTGCCTGGCCCTTGCAGTGGAAGCCTGGGTGGAGACTGACTAGTCTTGATTGGCCTCCCACAGCTTGCTAGGATCCAGTAGCACTTCCTGACTGGATCAGCCTCCCTCAGCTTTTGAAGGCACTAAAGATCTCTATGAGAGCTGTCTTCAGTCCCAGAGAGGGCCTTCCTGTGGGTTTGCACAGTGGTATTCTCTCAAGAACTCCTTGACTCTATCGTGTCCAGTATCTCCAGATATGTCTAAGTCCTATTTTTGCCACAACAGATATGTGTGCTACTAAGTTGATGTGGCTGCTTTCTAGAATGTTCAGGGAGGGTCCCAAGAAGTGAGCTCTTTCCAGGATTCCACAGAAGCAGTATTCTCTGCCTCGGGATCTCCCTCAACTTCTCCATCCCTCTACTTGGGATCTCCCTAGGCTGGAACTCGGGAGCACACAACTCTTTGTTTTCATTTTCCTACCAACACTGGGTCTGGAAATAGGCAAGTTTCCTTGTCATAGTCTCCTCACTCTGATTCTAAGTTTTTATAAAATATTATTTTAGTTGTAGGTGGACATAATACTTTCATTTTATTGTATGTGGTGCTGAGAATCAAACCCAGGGCCTCACACATGCTAGGCAAGCACTCTACCGCTGAGCCACAACCCCAGCCCTCTATCTAAATTTTAATAGTGGGAAGGACAGTTAGTTCCCTCTATTCTGTAGACAGTCCTATCTGCTAATTGCTTCAAGTTTGATTTTTTTTAATATGCTAGAAGGATAAATTTCCAGATATGGATAATTATTTCTCAAAACAATAGCCTAACTTGTAGGATTACTGTCATTGTGTAATTGTATTTTGCATCACATTGAAGAGTTGACCTTCTTTGTCTTCCTTTGCAATAAATGCTAATCTCTGCCACATTTCTCCAAGAGAGGAATGGGGAACAGGAGGAGGGCTCCCACCCCCCACATCTACTGAATCAGAGTCTTTGTGAGTGAGGCTCAGGATTCTGTTTTAACAGTTCCTCCAGGAGACTTTGGTGCCCAGTGAAGTTTGAGAAATGCTGGACTTTGGTGTGGGAATTGTGCTATATATGAAAATGCATCTCAAAGCTTTCATGATTTCCCATGGAACAGTCTGGATCACTTGAGATGAGGTTGCTACAGTAGTTTGTAAATTGTCCACTTAATAAATGYACCATTACTCATTAATTGGCCCCAAACAGCAAAAATAATAAACCAATGAAGTTCCTTTCACTTCTGTATAATGGTCTCCCATAGGACAAAAGCCAATACAGGAAAAGGAGGCCAGACATAATCCAGTGGATTTCTATTTTTCAGAGATTATCCCTCCATGATTATTCAATTGATCCTACTCTTTTTTTTCCCCCTTTTTGAGATGAGCTCTTGCTATGTTGCCAAAGCTACTCGTTTATTTCATATATGCAGAAGTAAACATTTCAAAAGGACTAGAGTTTGTGGGGGTAATGAAACCTTACCCAGGGCTTTGGGAGCACCTGTTCAGGAGG